CCAGTAAGTGAGCAGCTGAGACTTTCCGAGCTGAGCATTCGCACCAACTGCTCAGTCCTCACGGCACCCACCCTGTGAGAAGGACTATTAGTTGTCCTGTTTTATTATTTAACACGTGTTTATTTATTTATTTTATTTGAAAGGCAGACACAGAGAGAGAGAGAAAGAGAGGAGAGAGAGAGATAGAAGAGGGTTCATTCTTCCATCCACTGGTTCACTCCCCAAATGCGCACAATGGTTGTGACTGGGCCCGACAAAAACCAGTAGCCTAGAACTCAATCCGGGTCTCCCACACGGGTGGCACGGGCCCAGGTATTTGCTCCATCACTTGCTGCTTCCCAGGATGTGAATCAGCAGGAAGCTGGAATCAGGAGTGGAGCTGGGACTAAGCCCAGGCACTCTGAGACGGGGTGTGGGTGTCCCAGGCAGCAGCATAATAGCTACACCAAATGTACATGCTTCATTATCCCCATTTCATAGAAAAGAAAACTGAGTTTTGATGAGGCTGAATGACTTGCTCCAGAACAGCCAGCAACTGAGCGTCAGAACCTAGATTCTGACCCAGGCTAATCTGACATCCAAGTCTAACACATTAAGCCACTGGTTGTAAACCTCCACTGTAGAAAGCAGTTTGTCCAAAAATCACACAACCAATTCGGGGTGCAGCTGGTCTCAGAGCCCAGTTACTCTCACATGCTGCCCAACTCACAAGCCAGGGCCTTGGGGAGCAATTTCCGGGAGAGGCGCAGGGCCAGCCCGGGCCTGAAGGCCACCTGCTGCCCAGGCCCTGGTCCCTTCTCTGACTGCAGCCTTGCCCTGGTCTAGGAGAAAGCCTGAGCTCCACCTCGTGACTCGCCCAAAGCCACAGATGAGCTGGGGGCAGGGCCGACCTCAGAGTCCAGCCCCTCTCCACCCCAGCTCCATCCACTGACCCCTGCCCTGCTGGGCTGTGTGAGCGCCGAGGGTATTTTGGTGGTCAGGACTTGGTGACAAGTCCCAACAAGTCCTCTCTGAGGTTAAGATTAGCACAGGGACCTCAGCTGTGACTCACAGAGGTGGCTGGGGTCAGGCCTCCCTGGCTCCCATCCTCTCTCCTCTGATTCACCAGTGGAAAAAACTTGGTCCCAGACCTTCCCCTGGCTGCCAGCCTTCTCCCTCCTCTAACCAACTGGGCACCACGGAGCAGGGATGGGGCTTGCCCATTCCTCAGCCTCAGAGCGCGGGTTCCCCACCATAGTGGGAAAATGGGGGGGACTCGGGGGCTGCCCTCTGTGGGCCCAACTGCTGCTCTTCAAACCTTCTCCTGCTCCATCCATGCTCCTGGTCTCCCCCAACACCCAGCCAAGGGGCGGAGGTCCCCCTTCTCTGCTTCAGAGAGTAGCCCTGGGTCAGGAGGGGGCCCTGGTGCAGCCAGGATCTGTCTGCACCCTGCTGAGACTTCTCAGGCTCCTCGGGACTTGGGGGTGTGATGGCCTCATTTGATGTGTAAGGAATGCACCATGTATGTGTCTCACATTTGCTCTCACAGTCTTAAAATCAGGGCAGTGAAGTAGCTGTGTGTACATGCGTGTGTGTGTACAGGTGCATGTGTGTGTGCATGTGGGCCTGTGTATGTGTGTATGTAGAAGGAGCACAGAGAAGGAGACTGATACAGAGGACGTACCTGGTGCAGCTCCATCAACATCACCCAGGATACAGACAGAGTGGCCCTGTTCCCCGACATCTCCCTCGGGGGAAGGTGTCACAGTCTCCTCCAGTGTGGACGCTGAGGCCAAGGGGTTCGTGCTTGTCTGGTTCTGCAGAGAGGTGAGCAGGGTGAGAGTTACAGGAGGGTGGTAACTCCCCAGACTTTCAGGGCCTGCCAGGACACCGTGTGGACCTTCTCCTGACCCGGCAGGACCCGGCATCCTCCTCTGCTCCCTGAGCACCCGAGTCAGGGCAGACCCAACCTGTGTCTCAGCCTCCTTGCAACGGGGCTGCTCTAGGGAGCCCCAAATACAGAGTGACCCTGTTCCTGTATCTTCAGCTCTAATGTGAGCCCCCCCCCACCCCAGCCTGGGTAGAAGTCTCACCAGTATGAAAGAGGCTAGGACTGATGCACAGGCCCAGATACGCCTCAGGGATCACAGGGCCCTGCTTTCGGAGACCCCAGCTGGAGGCTGGCAGAGCTCAGCTTCCTCATGTGTACGGTGGAGGTGTGCACTTGACTGCCAGGGCCTCCTCTCTGCACGCCAGATATTCCAGAGCCATCTGCTTTTCAAGTTCATTGGCTCCTGGACCCTGGTTGCTCTTGTCACACACAGCCTTGGGCTTGCGTCTTCTCGACATGTGGGAAGGTCTATGCGTCTGATGGAACACTGCACACAGATGCCAACTTAAATACCAGCCGGGGCAGACAGTTGGTGCAGCAGCCTGGCGATGCCCATGTTGTAAATCACAATGCCTAGTTCGAGCCTTGGCTCTGCTTCCACTTCCAGTTAATGCACATCCTGGGAGGTAGCAGGTCCTGGTTCAAGTTCCTGGGTGCCCACCATCCGTGTGGAAGACCAGGCTTGAGTTCTGGGCTCTTGGCATCAGCCTGGCCCAACCCTAGCCACTGCAGGTATTTAAGGAGTGAACCAGTGATGGGAGCATGCTCTCCCCCCACCCTCTCTGCAGCTGTGTTTGGATCTTGGAAACATAGGTGGGCTGGCAGCCATTGCTGGGCTTGAGCTGGTAGGTGACAAAGAGCTGTGCTACTCCCCAAGGAGGGGAGGTGGCTCTCGGCAGTGTCAGGAGTCAGGAGGGAGTGCGGCGTTGATGGAAGGATGATTCGGGAACCGTGGCAGGTGCAAAGGGAAGGGCGTGGTACCCTGGCCTGCCCAGACAAAGCCACTCTAGTGCGATTCCTACCACGCTGCTGGACAGGCAGTCTCTGGAGCCCCAGCCATTGTGTGTCATGGACATCGAATGCTCAGGGAGGTGGCAGTGCCTGCCTCGGTGGGTGGCTGCACCCTGCAATAGCTGGGCTGAGCCGGGGCTCCAGGCAGGCCACGTGCTGGGGAGGCTGCGGCCACACACGGGTTGGGATCGTTCCAGGGCAGGGGTTGCCTCTGTGGTTCACCCCAAGCCCTCAAGGCAGGTTTGGCTGTGCTGCCCAAGGCCACCCCGTGTGTGGGAGCACAGCTGGCCTGCCCGGAAGAGCCCAGAGCAATCAGCATCCTCCCCGCTTCATTCTTGTGGCCCCCAGAGACCAGCGGGGCCAGCTCAGGTCGTTCGTTCCAGCCGACATCCCTCAGCGAAGTGCAGCTCTCTCTGCTCCCCGGCCAACCTTGTTTACCTCGCCTTTGCTCCAAATCCGAGCATCGCAGGACACAAGGAAGAGTTTGAGGGAGGCCTCATGACACTGCCTAGCAGGAAGCCCACTTGCCAGCCCCTCCCAGGGTCACAGATCCCCTCCTCCAGGGAAGGGGACAGCAGGTGGGACCAGGACATCACCACCAATCCTTGTGTCCGATTCCTTACTTCCGATGGGCTGTTAGGGGCATGCACGCAGGTCCTGGACCAGAGGGACAGTTGACATGATAAGGGACCCCGCTCACACCTGGGGCACCTCTCGGTGTCGATCTTTGTGCTTGCTGCATGGCAGGGACTCCCTATGGCTTCTAGACACAGCAAACTTGTCCCTGCCCTTGGGACACTCTTCTCCACCCCAGCCCAATTTGCCAGTCAGTCTCAGTTCCGATGTGATTCTTCCAGGCAGCCTCCAAGGACTGCTCATCCCACCAAGCTTGCCCAGCAGCAGCGTTCCTCTGGGCTCCCACAGTCCCCTGGGTTTCTCACATGACCAGGCCGGTCACACTGTGAGGTCACTGCTGGGATGACCACATGAACTCGCTATTGCCTGCCTGCCTGCTGCATTGTGAGCCCTGTGCCCGGTGGGTGTGAGGGCACAGCTGAGAGGCGAAGGGCTCACAACCTCGTCCGTCTCCACACTTTCCAGGGAAAGGCAGGTATCCCAGCCACTGTTGGAAAACGGTGACCCCATTTCAGCCTGTGGCTGACCTGGTAACAACTCTGCCTTTTGGTTGGATCACCACCATGATGGCTGTCCCCACACCCTTTTCTGAGTACAGCTTTATGGAGGTGTAACTGATGCACAGCAAGCAGCACCTATTCAAGGTGCAGTTGGATCACGTCGGACACACACATGCACCTGTGCAATCATCACCACACTCGAGATAATGAACCTATCCATCATCGCCATAGGTTTCCTCCTGGCCCTCGGTAATCCCTCCCTCCTGCCCCTCCCAGCCCCACGCCCTGTCCCCTGGCAACCTCGGCTCTGCTTTCTGTCACTATAGATTAGTTCGCAGTTTCTGGAGCGCCATATAAATGGAATCACACAGCGTGCACTGTGTTTTGCCTGGCTTCTTTCACTCAGCATAATTATTTTGAGATTCGTCCAAGCTGTTGCATGAGTCAGTAGCTCAGTCCTTTTAATTGCTGACTAGTGTTCCATCAGACACATAGACCAGGCTTTGTTTATCCGTGCACCTGTTGATGGAGACTTGGGCTGCCTCCAGTTTGGGCTCAGCCTCTGCACAAGCGTCTTTGCACAGTGTTGTGTGCATGCGTCTTTTCACCTCCCCTTTTGCCACCTTCAGAGGGGTCACCTCCAGTGTTGGGGAGGGGAGCCAGGAAGGTGTGGCTGAGGCCTTGTATAGGTCCCCAGGGGGCAGTTAGGGGGCTCCCTACAACCTACACACCCCGTGCAACCCAACCACCCTGGATCCTTGTCCCCAGGATCCCCGTCTTCCCCACTGTGGCTGCATCACGCCATCCCATTTATAATGAAGAAGGATCTGTCCAAACCACTTGACTCCCATTGGGCAGAAGGCAAGGACTCTCCTTCCCCCACCACGATGGACCCCCACCCTTCATTCCTGATGTGCACCCAGGATCTCACACATGTGTGCATGTGCACAGGAGCCTCAGGCCCTGGGGTAGGTTTCCTGGCTGGCCGCTGCAGTGGTCTACCCAGGGGTGACTGTGGGGCCCCAGCTGAAGGGGCTACTGAGACTTGGGGTTTGAAGGACCCACTGCTGTCCCACAGGCTGCCTCCTCCCTGGGGACCCAAGGCCCAGCAGCACTTTGGCCCATTTTTTTTTTTTAAGATTTATTTATTTTTTTATTTGAATGTCAGAGTCATACAGAGAGAGGAGAGGCAGAGAGAGAGAGAGAGAGAGAGAGAGGTCTTCTATCCGATGGTTCACTCCCCAGTTGGCCGCAACTGCCAGAGCTGCGCCGATCCAAAGCCAGGAGCCAGGAGCTTCTTCCAGGTCCGCCACGCGGGTGCAGGGGCCCAAGGATGTGGCCATCTTCTTACTGCTTTCCCAGACCACAGCAGAGAGCTGGATCAGAAGTGAAGCAGCTGGTACTAGAACCAGTGCCTATATGGGATGCCGGCACTTCAGGCCAGGGCGTTAACCCGCTGTGCCACAGCGCCAGCCCCCAACTGGCCCTTCTTGGCACCGTCCCCAGCTTGGGGTCGCCATGTGGACAAGCCAGCCTCCAAACCTCCCTGCACTGCCCTGCCACAGGCCACCCCCTCTGCCACCTCAGGGCCTTCCCATCTTCAAAGTGAGCCATTTCTGTCCTTGAGCCCCGTTCCCAAGGCCTTTCTTGCTTTCTGTCCCCTCAGACAGTTTCCTTTGATCCGCTCGAGTCACTCCCTTGGCCTGATCCGCCACCCTTCTCCCTTTCTCACAGAGTCGGTGTCCGGAGGTGGCCTCCGTCAGTCTCCACAAGAGGGAACAGGGTTATCAGCATCTCCAAAGCACCTCTGTCACCCCTCTCCCCGCTGGGGTCTGAACTGAGCTTGGTGCCAGGGCAGGGGATTCTGCCCTTCCGTTGCTGGTAGGCTTGGGTTGCTATGTCAGAACCAGAGACCCAGAATCGCGAGGACCTGAGAAGAGAGAGGAAGGAGAGAAAAGCTATGCCCACGTCTCCCATGTCTTGGGTCTGCAGCAGCCAGGAAAGAGGCAGAACAGGGCTGGAACCCAACAGCCCGGACTCCCATTTGGTGCACATCTCATGCGGTGCCTCCTGCTGGGTGCTCTTCCATGCCTAATGAGTTGCACGGGTGGCTGAGGACCAAAGGAAGACAGGGGGTACCCTGGTTGCCCTCTGGGAGTTGGCATATCAGTAGGGGGGCAGTGAGGTCCAGGAGCCAAGTTGGGAAGTTGCACAGAAAACCAGTCGAAACCGTGTTGCTTGATCCCAAACACCAAGCACAGAGGCCGCAAAGGAAGGGAGCTGGGGGGCCTGGGAGAGCTCCCTGGGTGGGATAGGCAGGAGCCAGCTGGGAACAAGCAGGGATCATCTGGAAGGTCATGCGGAGGGCACGCCAAGCAAAGCACAGCGCCCCAAGGGGGTGGCAACCCGGCCCTCTTGTCTTCACCCTTGGCTCAGCCTTCCTCTCTGATCCACTCAGGACTCCCCACACCCACCCCGACCTGGCCTCCAGCCCTCCTAAGCGCTCCTCCCCAGGGCACCTGGGAGCAGTGTGGAGGCCGTCTGGGCAGAAAGTGCTGGCACCAGCACTTCCCCTTGCCTCTCTGGCGCCGGCGCCAGCGCTGTATTGAGAAACGACCATTCCATGCACCGGCCGCGGCCCTGCGCCCCGCCTCCTGGCCCCTGGGTTCATCCGATCACCTGCACCCCCAAGACTCTTTGGGTGGGGAAGGTGAAGACGGCATGCTGTGGAAACACGATTGCCTGCCACTATAAATACCCCCAGGCACAGAGGCAGGGGTGGAGGAGCTGAATAGAGAGTCCGCGCACGCATCGCGGGGTGTGTGCAGCAGTATCCCCTGGGGAGCCTATGAGAAACACGCATGCCCAGGCCCCGCCCTGAGCAGATGGAGCCAGAGCAGCCAGGCCATGTTTGAGGAGGTACAGCGGTGTTCTTAGCCCCCACCAGCTGATGCTGGCGTCCTCTCACAGCCCCACTCGCCCTGTGCTGAAGACATCGGGCTTTGGGGATACGAGGTGCACAGATGAAGCGTGGTCCTTCCCGGATTAGTCAGGGCAGCCCGGGGACTCCAGCCCCATCTGGTCCATGCAAGGGCAGGGTGGTGCAAGGCTCCAGTTTCCTAGCTGCCATGAGTCGGGGCCTCAGGACCAACCTTGCCTGGGGCTCCCTCGGAATGGCTCCCTGCCCATGCAGGCTGGTGGTCTTGGGCCATGTCGTTTGCCCATGAGGTTCCTCATTCACACCTCCTGATACCTGTAGACTGCACAGCTTCAGAGTCCGTAATTGGTGTTCCTGCTTCCGGTGTGACTGGGACCTCTTTTTTTTTTTTTTTTTTTTTTAATTTTTTTTGACAGGCAGAGTGGACAGTGTGAGAGAGAGAGAGAGACAGAGAGAAAGGTCTTCCTTTTGCCGTTGGTTCACCCTCCAACGGCTGCTGCAGCCAGCGCACCGCGCTGATCCGAAGCCAGGAGCCAGGTGCTTCTCCTGGTCTACCATGCAGGTGCAGGGCCCAGGCACTTGGGCCATCCTCCACTGCAGTCCCTGGCCACAGCAGAGAGCTGGCCTGGAAGAGGGGCAACCGGGACAGAATCTGGCGCCCCAACCGGGACTAGAACCCGGTGTGCCGGCGCCGCAAGGCGGAGGATTAGCTTATTGAGCCACGGGCCCTGGGACCTCTTTTAAATGCAGCTTTTGCTTCCTTCTCTGACCAGGGTTTAGAGTCTCCCTCCTGCCATTCTGGGCAAACATCCCCTTCTTGCCCCTGGCCCTTCTCCCCTTGGGCAGGTCTCCGCTGGGTGGTGATGAGCAGGCAGTGCCAACCCCTCCCATCACTGTGCTCATCCCCATGGCAATGACCGCCATCTACACCATCCCCCAGTTCTCACCACTGCTGCTTCCACCATCACCACAACCCTGTCACCACTGCTACCTCCCCTGACAGCAGCAGGGCCATCAGCAGCACCAGCACTCCTGCCACCACCAGGATCACCGCTCCCCGAGTTACCAGCACCACAGGCACTGTGGCGTCTGGTGTCGCAGTGTCATGTCCTTTTACAAATCTGCATGGGTACAGGCTGATGTCTGACCCTCACCATCACCTTGAGCTGGACTCAGAGTCTTGACTGCACCTCCGCTTGGCTTGGCCTCTTCCTGTCCAGCTGGCCCTCTGGAGGCCCTGTGTTACCAGGGGGATCTCCTCCGCTACCCACACTGACGGAGATCTTTCTTCTCCACCATAAGCGAGACCTCGTGGGAGGGACCCTCCCGGGAACCCCAGACTGGTGGGAGAGGTATCCGCTCGGGGTCTCCAGATTGATGGAGAAAGGACCGCTGTGTTGCAGGGGGCAGCATTTCCTCAGGAAAAGCCCCTTCCCTACCTTGGTTGGGGAGGGGGTCATCTCAGAAGGCCATCCGCTGCCCACGGCAGATTCCCATTAGGAAGCTCCTGACAGGCTGGGGGGGGGGGAGGCCACCCCTCATGGGGGTGGGGGGCTGCTGGCAGGTGCAGGAGCACCCTGCGGCAGGGGCAGGGACAGAGGCTACCATCTAGGAAAGCAGAGCTCAAAGGCGAGCCACTGACCACACTGGGAGCACCAGGCCTCCTGCGGCCACCAGATTGGGTGGTCGCGCTGTTGAGGCCTCCTGGGGAAGGCGGCTTGGGGCAGGGTGGGTGCCTTTGGCTCCCTGTCCCAAGGCCCCAGCTTCTCCAGGAACGAGCCTGGGAGTGGCTGGCGGGTGTGTGCCAGGCGCGCATTGTTTCCACGGCCGCTCCCTGTTTCCAGGTTGTGTCCACCCTGCCTGGCGCCAGCCCCTGCCCTGGCAGCCCCAAGCGCAGACACAGGGCCCGGAGGCAGCCGGGGCCAGGAATGTGTGGACAGGTGCCCTTGGCCTAACCCGGCAGAGAGTCCTGTCCCTGTGCCCCCCACACCGGGGGGCAAGGGGTGTGGGATGGCCTGGGAGCTCAGGTGCCTTCCTCCTGCCTTCTCACCAGGAGGGAGGTCGGCCTGTGTGTGACCAGGAGCTGCATCCTGAATGGGACGCTCCATCACGGAGGGGCTTCTGCTGTTCCTACACTCGGTGCAGCCACCCTGCTTAGTCCCCAAGGCCGCATGCTGCCTTCCTGGGCTTCTCTTTGGAGCCTCCCCAGAAGTGCATCCCTCCCTCCCTCCAGCACTCATCCCTGGGTTTTCCCCACAGACACCAGTGCTCCGATCCGCGTGATTTATGTCTCAGGAGAGCTGTCGGTCACTGTATTTCCCAGCCACGGAATAACTCCAACCCTGTCCTCCAGCAGAGCCTCCATCTCATATTGATCCGAGCCATGACCTTGAGCTCATACTGATGTGAGCATTCACCGTGGACTGAATCTAACCCCGACCACAGACAGAACCCTGCACTCAAACGCACGGCCCAGCTCTATCTACGGCTTTCAGAGAAAGCCATCCATCTTCAAAGGGACCTGGTAAGAGACTCCTCTGCGTCGCTGTAGTTGTTACACACGGAGACTGCTTCCACAGTGTGTGTGTGTGCGTGTGTGTGTGTGTGCTTCCTCTATTCCATTCAGAATCCCTTTCATCACAATTCCATGCTACCTTCTCCAGGGTACAGAGGAAATAGGAGATGAGTCTCAGTTACACAGAGGAATTCTCTGCAAAGCCTGGAGCTCAGAGGAGGCCCGTGGCCGCCTAGTGGGGCCCGGATGTCACTGCACCTGCAGTGGCTGTCCCCAACCTGCCTTGGGAGTTTGAGTAGTAAAGAGTGAGTGGTGGGGGCCTGTGCTGTGGCATGGAGGGTTAAGCCTCCACCTGCAGTGCCGGCATCCAATGTGGGCGCCAGCTCAAGACCCAGCTGCTCCATTTCCGATCCAGCTCTCTGTTGTGGCCTGAGAGAGCAGTGGAGGATGGCCCCGAAGAAGCTCCTGGCTCCTGGCTTCAGATTGGCACAGCTCCAGCCGTTGTGGCTAACTGGGGAGTGAACCAGCAGATGGAAGACCTCTCTCTCTGCCCCTCCTTCTCTAGCTGTGTAACTCTTTCAAATAACTAAATAAATCGTAAAAATAAAAAAATTTAAAAAAAAAGAGTAGGTAGCAGCCACTAGCGTGTGTCAGGCTTTTGAGCTTCCGTTTATCACCTGAGCCAGTGACTAGAAGGAAGGACACCCTCCCCAATTCACCTGCTTCCTCCGCCCCCACCCCACTGCCTTAGCCTGTCCATCCCATCTCCACAGCCACCAATCCGGGGCCTCCCGGGCACTGGTCATTGGACAGCATCTGGCCCACTCTGCTTCTCCTTCTCTCTCCTGGTGTCTTATGTTCTTATGTCTTATGTTACCTTTTCACGGCATCTCCAGCTCTTATCTGGCTTCTCTGTGCCTCTCTTTCGCTCCCTTCCTCTCCCTTTCCTCTGCAGTCTTAAGACCCTACCTGCTTGCCAAGCCCACTCTTGCCTGATGTTCTAAGGGGTTCCCAAGCTGATGCAGGTGTTGGTCTTGCCTCTTTAACCAGAAACCTGAGCTGTGTTTGCCTTCTCTTGCCTATTGCACAGCAGAGCCTGGCTTGTGACAGCATACGGAGATGCCACGGAGAACTCCTGGAGAGTCACGGCTCCCATGTAATAGAAGGTGAAACCGGAGTCCCCCAAAATGCATTTCCCTGAGAGCCCGGTCAACCCTTGATGGGACCAGAAGCCTGAGCAGTGCTCCCCGCTGACCCCGGCTGTGGCTTTCTGCTCTACGGAACTGTCTCGTGTCCATCCAGACCTGATACATTCAACCAAGTTGGATGTGGCTCCTCCGGGCTACTCAATGATAAAAAAAAATAATAATTATCACATAACCTTCAGACACATGAAAACATGTCTAGAACTGTGGAGCTGGATTCCCAACAGGAAAGGGAGGATGGGACCAAGTGAACCGTGCTAGAAGCAAACAGA